TGGCAAATTTTAATTTTGTATAACACTCATAAAAACACTTATTTTGCTTATTATCAATGATTGGGTGGTCTTAACTATTGAAAAGGAAGGTTTTGAGTGTTATTTCAAGAACAAGTCTGCTTTTCAAGGTGGTTTTTGCCAAAATTTTCAGTTAGTGTTTTGAGCAAATTTGTGTGTAATCCCTATTGTGAACCACTATCATGATTCATGATAAAAAAATTCACTGCGTTTTCTTGACTCCAAAGCTTTATATATAACTTCAATTCCTACTGTATGTTAAACTATGTAAAATTTAATGTGTTTTAAATTTACTGATAAATTAATTTATGTTTTTCACAAGCATGCCAAAACAGAAATAGTTGAAAAAAATGTTCTTTTAAAGTATGAGATATTTTCCATAATTCATTTATTAATATGTTTATTAACAGGTAATGGGCAACTATTTGTATTTTTGACATTTATTCTTCTCTCTTTCTACAAAATATATTTGCTTACAACATACACAAAGTAATAAGTAACATTATACAAATTACAACTAAATCTGGAGTTTATGAAAAATATTTTCTCTCCAGTAGGACCTATAATGTATTTACTGTATGTAATATAGCCTTTACCACAAACACAAAAATCTGATTATTAAAGAAAAAAATACTTCCCTCACATTTCTCTGATTTAATATAGTATATCAATTTTTGGGTTGTCTTCAAAATAATATATGACTAGTTATTTTCAAACTTAGTTTTTTTAAGTTGTAGCTGAGATTCTTTCAAATTCTTTTTGGATGTCATTAATATTAATTTCAACTCAAGAACAACAGGCAACTATGAAAAAAATAATTTGTTATTCTTCTTTCATATTCTCTTTATGATTATTGCTAATTTTTATTTCAATTTTAGCTAAGTTAACAGCTCTACATATTATATTTTTTGGATAATGACCCTTCCTAAGGTAAGATTTTAATTCTATCCATCTTTGTTGTTGAACTTCTGGGTTGGAAACTATAGAGAAAATTCTTTGAGATAGACAAAGTGAACTATTTAATTTAGTATTCTACAAGATGGTTACTATAAAAATCTAAATACTGGTATGATTTAGTAGGTTTTCAATCTTACCACCTTTTTTGTATAATCCATATATATATAAAAACGATAAAACTAAATAGCTCATTTTCAAAGTAAGATTTATATTAGGTTTAATGTGATTGAAATTTTCAAAATCAAGGTGTCTAGCATAAGTTGGATCCACTTTTCTTTCTGCTGAAATTTTAGATATTTTTTATAAATATTACCATTATGAACAAAGTAAACAGTTGTCTAGAATAAGATTTAAACCTTTAATTATCACTTCTTTATTAAACTGTGGTTGTAAAAAAATCCAGGTATTTATCTAAACATTATTCAATAACTTTTATACCATATTTGTATTTAATGCTTGGATAAACAAACTACATCTAATGATATTAAAACAATATATTTTTTCAACTTTCGCTGGTATATGATTAATAAAATCAATATCATCTATTAGAATTTTGTGTTTTAGATGAAAATTGTCATATATATATATATATATATAAAAATTTGTACTTAAATAGTCAAGCAAAAATTAACAAATTAATATCAAAAGGAAGGACTGTATTAAAATCAGCAAATCTGAACCTGTGATGAAGAACATTTTAAGGAACAAAACAGGTTCAAACAAAAAAACAAGATGCTACTTAAATTAAAAGGATCCCCAGGGTATAGGCTATAGTGTGGGATATAAAATATGTCTAGGATTTTGGAGGTGACTGAAAAAGCAGGATCCACATTGCAGTGGGGATACATCATAGACTATTCTTAACCTCCATTTTTCAGACTGGAATGTTGAAAAAAAATCATCAAAAATATAACTTAGGAGAGCAAGATGTGAGTGTTAAAGTCAACTCATGAGGAAGATAGAAACTGTTCAAGATGGCTTTCTTCATCAATTGGTCAAATAACATGCTAGAAGCAATAATATTTTAGTTTTATTGTTAACTTCTAGTACAAAAATGGTTGAGAAGGTGGAAACTGGGAACATCTGGGTGCAAGTGATCATTGCTTTGTTAGGTTTGATATTTTTCTGCATAAGGAGATCAGAAATAATGATATTCTGATTACAAATTTCAAAAAAAGCAAATTCTGAAGAGATGCAACAAGAATTATTTCTTGTGAATGGACAGCCGAGACATTGATCAAATGTGGAAAATGTTTAAATATTCACGATAAACATATTCCTCATAGAAAGAAAAGGGTGGCTGCCAAGTTGGCTCAAAAAGGTTATAATAAATAAAATATAATTTCCAAAGCTAATTAACAAAGTTTATAATTTTTGTAGATAGTCAACATGGTTTCACTAAGGAAAAATCTTGCCTTACAAATCTTTTGACATTCTTTGAAAATGTTACTGCTTATGTAGATGAGGGTAAGGGTGTAGATTTGGTGTATCTGGATTTTCAGAAAGCATTTGACAGGGTACCACATAAATGGCTTGTAAGAATTATCTCTATAGGTGTGTGGGATAAGTTAGCTAATTGAATAAAAGAGTGGCTGGATGGAAGAAAGCAGAGGGTTGTTATAAATGGAGTTCATTCAAACTGGATTACTGTTACAACTAGGGTACCTCAGGGCTTGGATCTTAGAACATTTGCTCTTTTTGATTTACATCAATGACATAAATGAAGAAATGGTTCATAAATTACTTAAATTTGCAGGGTGATTAAGGTCTTGGGTGTTAAGGATGTTGCTGATTTACAAAAGGATTTAGATCATTTAGGCAAGTTGGGCAAATAAATGGCAGATGGGTTATAATTATAATAGTTGCAAGATATTGTATGTGGATTATCATAATTTGAATTATAAGTATAATTTGGATGGGAGTAACCTTAAAAGTGTCATGAAACAAAGGGATCTTGGTGTAATGGTTGATCAGTCTCTTAAGCCATCCGAGCAGTATGCTGTTGCTAGTGGTAGGGCAAACACGATTTTAGGTTATAAAGGGGGTTGCAAAATAAATCACACTTTTTTTCGCCGAAGTAATGATGAACCTGGTAGGACCGTAAATATCATCACTCATGAGAAAATGTCAGTTCAATGTACTCTTGGGTGTTTTACTCTTTCAATTTCATTTTTTGTGAAAACTTTTGAATCATGGTGCTCACTAGAACTCAGGTTCATGTCGCATGCGCTGCCTTTGGGATGGCTCAGAAACTAGTTGCAGACATACTCCGAGAATTCAAGTCTTCTAATCGACACATTTGAGAATTGTTGAAATTGATACAGTGGTCTGTGGAAATGTGTTGGAATGTGGATTGGGAACTCTCCAGATTTAAATCCCACCTAAAATGTTGGCGCTTTAATTTAACAATGCACAGAAGAAATATTTGAAACTTTGCCTAAATACAAGAGACACAAACGTGAAATGTTGATTCGTGTTCTCACTGAAGTGCTCACAGAGACAGCCACAAAACAGACATGTTTGTTGCATTGCTGAAATATTTTGCAAATCTATAAAAACTTGTGCATGAGAACAATGGTGGCCCAATCAAGTGATATTGATACTTGGATTTACTTTTTTGATTGAATTAAAATCTTATTTTACTTTGTTATGCTTTCAGGAAAAAAAGTGTGATTTATTTTGCAACACCCCTCATCTACAAAAATATTGAATACAAGTCTAAAGAGGTTATAATTTCATTGTATAGGTCACTGGTTAAGCCACATTTGGAATATTATGTTCAGTCTTGGGGTTCTTACCTTAGCAAGGACATTGAACTGTTGGAAAGGGTTCAGAGGAAGATTACTAGAATGGTGCATGGGATGGAGGGGTTGCCCTACGAGTAGAGGTTGAGATCTTTCAAATTGTTCTCTCTTGAAAAAAGAAGTTAGAGGGGTTCTGATTGATGTGTATAAGACTGTAAAGGGAATTGGTAGTGTTTATGCATCATCTTTTTTCTTACTTCACTGCAAGAACAGTAGGACTGGGAGAGACAAATATAAATTTTGGCAGGGTAGGAGTCATCTTCAGCTAAGACAGTTTTATTTTTCTAACAGGGTAGGTGGCCTTAGAAATGGATTGCCTTCAGATGTTGTGGAGGCAGTAAATGTAAGTGAATTTAAGAGAAAGCTTGATGACTTTATGAATGATAAGAGCTGGCTTTCAAATTTTTTAAATATATTATTTAATAGTTTTAGGATATTTTAGAGGGTGGGCTGTCCATGGTGGTTCAATAGGTCCCTTGTTGTCCCTAAACATTATGTTATATCATGTCTGGTTCATTACATGTCTTAAAATGTGACACCTATATAGTTTTTACAGATATAAAAATCAGTAATATACAATATAAGGAAGTTTGGTGAAAGCATTACTCTTAAGAAGTTTCTTAATTTTTATGAACATTTTACTATTTAGATATGTAAAAAATAAGATGAAGTAATAACAACTTTGACCACTACTGTTTGATTCATTGCTTATTTTATATAACCCACATTTTATATTGTAATAGATATTTCACAGAAAAATTACTTTAATTCTATAAAGGTTTACTATGGAAATTATACTTGTTTATAACAAATAATGATGCAATTTGCACAACCTTTGAGGCAGCAGTACTGATGACCTCAAATTTTTCCATATAATCTTTGAGGTTCAGTTTCAACATCCTTTGAAGAGTAGTTCCAGAATCTGGGGTTATGTTCTGACCTAAAACAGTTGACATTTGGTCCCAGTGACGTTGTCTCATTCCAGGGTTACATAGTAATGATATGGCTGGAATATTTTTCTGCAAAATACAAAGGGAAGATAATTTTGTTTGTGACTCTAGAATAATACAATAAACAGAACTTTTAAGATAATGTTCAAAAATATTTAACAAAATGAGCTATCTCCATATACATTGTGGAAATGTGACATGATATCACCAAGCTTAATGCAAGCACAACGTGCTACTTGTCCTTTTGGATGTGTTATTATGTTTCCATTGCTCACATCTTGAAACATCTTTAATTTTATAGGTTACTTGACACTTAGGTATAGGAATACAGCTACATGTACTTAATTATTCAAGTATACAAAAGAAGTGTGCTTACATAATTTGTGCAGTATATAAAGGAGTATGACAACATTATAATTCCAGTAAACAAAGGAGCATAGTTCTCAAATTATTCAGTATAATGAAATGTGGCTCTCACAAAGATGTGTAACTGCAGTATAATGTCAATACACAGAGCAGAGTATAATGATTAAATAAAGAAGCAAAGGTTTACAGTTTCCTTTACCGAAAAGCATCTAAGCATTGGTATGAATTCTGTCTTACTTGCCCCTGTTTTTATACCCTACTATATTGGCTCTAGCGATTTTAATCTTGTGACTCTCTCCACCTATGTTAGTGCACCCTCAGATCCATATATAAGCCCCCCATTATTCTTTCTTATTCACTTTTTCTTAACTGGCAAGATTTTCAGACCCAAACACCAACTATTGTGGGTAAGTGGAGGTAAGTATTAATTGGAAATATATTTTCAGTATAGGAAAATGTAAGTTTTTGAAACACACTTACCTCTGCTCCTACTTGAGCTAGAATCTCACATTGACAAAGTGGAGGAGCTGGTGAGGGCAAAACCCACACAGAAAGCATGTGGAAAATTGAGATATAATAAAGCATACTAGTGGGGGTCGACACTACTTCTAGAACAGGTATGTTCTTTGTCCAGGTAAAGTGAAATCTAAACATTGGCGAAAAAGGTCAACCAGCTACAGAGTCAACACTATTCATTATCATGAGATTCTTTCAGGCCCAAACCACACAGACGAGGTTCCACGTCTTGCCGTTGGAAATATAGGGTTGTGGATGCAAAGCTAGATCCAAGGTGTAGTGGCTAGGAAATGGGGACTTGAGTATGATATAATCATATAATAGGAATATGATATGAAGGGGAACCCAACCTTAAGGATACAGAATGTTGCATGCAATCCACCAGAATTACGAAGGAAAGGCAAGCAATACCCAACTGGACAAGTCTACTACCAACCTGAAGGAGCACAGAATTCAACAAACTAAACTAAGAATTATGGAGCCAATTCATGCCTAATTCAACCTGAAGACATAGAGATCACCTGGCCTGGATTTATGAACCCAAATCCTAATTTCTCAAACCTGGGAAGCAATGCAACACCTCCTGCTCTCGGAATTATGAGAAAGATGTGGAACAAATAAAGTTCAACCAGTGTCTCACAAAAGTGATGTGCCACATGCGGAATTATGAGGAGTCAAGGACCCTCTTGGGTAATCATGGAAAGTAATAGAATGACCAAAAAATTTGAAGACACATCTTGCACAAGTTCATAAACAAATTTGAAGACACAGCTTTCACTTGTGATAAACCAAATAGAGGCAGATCACGGATACTATATAAAATAACACTGAGGTCAGCCATGCTGAAGCAGAACAATCCAGGAAAAATGCATTCAACTGCAGCAATGCATGTTATGTTGCCTGGAGTCTGGATTTGCCAATTTCTACTGTCTGTAAGGCTTTTGGCTTTTCAGTCAACTTTATGAATTTTCCTTAGAAGCTGCATTATGTTCAAACATTGTAGGAGACAGATTTAGCCTGAACTGTTGATTTTGTATTGCAGTTTTTGCCCAGATTATAAATGGATGACCATAATATCTTATAGAGTAATAAAGCACACTTCACCCTTTATGGAAATGTCACCACATGCAACTCCATTACTTTGTTGAAAACTAATACACATAACTTTTCCTACACCTACATGATACTAAGGTGACAGTGTGGTGTGATTTCATTGCTGACTTTGTTACTGGACTATTATTTGTTTGAAGAACCATCAGCACATGAACTATGAACCTGCATGCTCAGTGATGCACAGTACCATGCATGGTCACAACAATGTGTTTCCTATGCTGCAACATCAAAATGTAATACATATTATTGTTTTCATGCAGATTGGTGCTCCTTCACATGTTGGTAACCAGGTGAAGCAGGACTACTTTCAAAACAAGGTAGCCACCTACAAGGACTTGACAACAGCTGATTACTAGTTGTGAGAGCACCTGAAGTCCATATGTACCATGGGAATCCTTACACAATTCCAGGCTTCAAAGATGCAACTGTCCAGGAAGTAGTCAGCACATCAGAGGGGATACACATTGGTGCTTTAATGTCCATTGTCACACAGATGTATTTTAAATATTAGAAGAATATTTTGAACAGTTGCTATAACTGATCAGACATTAGGTCAGAATTTCCCAACTGGTGGTTCTCGAACCCCTAGGGATTCAAGAGAGAATTCTGATGGTTCCCATGAAAACTTGGTAATGGCATCTTTTTCACTTTACTGGTTATACAGTTCTTACAATATTTTAATTTCCTTTTAATTTATTAAAATATTTAGAGAAGGTTTTGGTGTGTTTTTTTTAATTTGACGCAAAGCTACATGAGGGTTATCTGCACTAGCTGTCCCTAATTTAGCAGTGTAAGACTAGAGGGAAAGCAGCTAGTCATCACCATCCACCACCAACTCTTGGGCTACTCTTTTAACAACGAACAGTGGGATTGACTGTCACAATATAATGCCCCCATGGCTGAAAGGGGCAAGCATGTTTGGTGTGATGAGGATTCGAACCCGCTATCCGCAGATTGACTTAGAGAAGGAAATAACTTGATGCAGAATCATATTTAAGACCATATCTCTCTTATGTTGAGCTGAGCTTTAAAGTACTGTGTTTTTCAAAACAAGCTCAGAAGTCTAATTAGTTTTAATTAAATGTTTTTTCTTTATTTTGATTATGTTTCAAGAATTATATTTCAATTTTACTGAGTACTCACTCCAGACTGATGACAATATCAGAGATTCAGATTTCATTGTAAATGTATTACAAAATATGTTACAGAAACTTTTTATTTTCAACAAATTCATCATATGCAAAAGTTATTTTATCTTACAAAATTTATAACTACTTAAAAGGGGTTTGGTGTGAAAACTATTATTACTCAAGGTGTTCGCGAAGAGAGAGAGAAAGGTTAGGAACCACTGCATTAGGCCATAGTGGCACCTCTGGTGGCCATATGTGATAATTGTGGCATTTGCATCCGCATGATAACCTTAATATCAGCATGCAATTACACATTCATATGGCATACCTTTTGTGAGATATGATGTGGTGAACTATGAAATTTTCTTTATACCATGTGTAAAGAAGTGGCTACTAAATGATTCTGGCATAAAATGAAGTGTAGCAACCTAATAGTTTATATATAAATATAGTTACTTAATAATTCAAGTATTGTGTGTGGTTCTTTCCTATAAATATAAAAAAGAAGAAAATTGTTAATCTAGTGAAACTGTCTAAGCTTCATCAATGATCTCCTACCTTAAATTTTTCAATATTATCCAACAAATACTGGCAAATTTTAAGAGGGGCTGGAAGTTTCTCAACCTCAGCTTCTTCTGTCTTGTTGTCATTATGTGCTGTTTGAGTTATATGAGATGTTTTTAGGTGACTTTTGAATTTCTTTTGCAAAATTAAGGTTTCTCTGGTGAATGCCTCCACATCTGCTTCAATGGCTTCTGCATTTAGATCCAGAAAAGATCCTTCCATCCATCTACCAAAAATGAAATAAAACTTTTGATCCTTTTCATAATATTAATTTTGGATATCTGAAACATATGACCTTTAGATCAGTGTTAACAGCTTTCTTTAAATTTTATTCTTTGATTAAAATTAAATAATGCAGCTCAAAAGCAAAGCTTATATGAATTCTTAAAATATCTGATTTAGGTTTATAAAGAAGGTTGGATCCAAACAGTTTCAATATTTAAAGTAGTATGGCTAATTAATCTTTCTATACATTTATATAAAAAGCTGTGCAAACACTTAGTATGAATATGAAATACAGTAAACTTTCTTTAAAATATAATAATGTGATTTAATGATAGACAGTGCAATAAATACATAAAATATCTGGTTTAACAACAACACACAGCAACCAGTAATGCTTTGGCCCACTGTCTATGAAACATCACCAATTACTATTCGTTAAGGCATCTTTCTTCAATATATTAAGGGAGAAGAGACCAAGTAAGAAAACTTACAGTAATAACGTTTGCAAAAGTAGAGAAGAGAAAGATATTGCAAGTTGCTTATATTAGGTTAAAATATGAGAAGATCTTGAAAAATAATAAAAGTGTGTAATTTCTTTTGAAAAAAACGTTTTGTTACATTATGCAAACTCTGCAAACCTCCATTTAACATATGACTCATAGAGCATATTATGTAGCATATATACAATTACAACCCCCTCAAAACACTGATGACATGCATTTAAACATATCCAAAACAATTAGCTCTAGAAAACTAAAGAAGTACAGGGCAGACACAGTTGCAAAGAGAAAATTATTTTTTTCATAAATAGTGATAATATGAAAACAGTTTACACTTAGATGTGTGTGTGTGTGTATACCTTGAAATATAAGTCTAATCACAGGAATGGAATAATGTTTAGTTTTTGAATTTTAAAGAAAAAATCATGAAAAATTCACATTTTCCTAAATTGAAAATGTATTTCCAATAATACTTACCTCCGCTGACACTTATAGCTATTACTCAACTGCCAGTGTATCATCTTTGCCCATCTAAGCATTGGTCTGATTTTTTCTCGCTTCCTCCAGTCATTTGTACCCCACTCAATTGTACTTGGTGATATATGTCTCATGATACTCTCCACCTACCTCAATGCACCTTTTATCCTGGTATTGTATATAAGCACCTCATTCAGATAATTTTATCACTTTTTCGAGATTGACACCATTCCAGTCTCTAACACTGGCTCTTAATGGAGAGGAAGGGAGAGAGAGTGTCAAAAGAGGTAAGCATTATTGGAAATACATTTTGAATTTAGGAAAATATTAAGTTCCAAAACACACCTCTACTGCAACTTATAGCTAGAATCCCACATTAAGAAGGGGGGGGGGGGGGCAGTGAGGGCATCATCCATACAGAAAGTGTCTGCATAGATCATAGGTGTACCAAGATAAAAGTGGTACCCAAGTGGTGGAACTGCACTATATCCAGAACAGGTATGCTTTTCACCCTTAGTTTCTGTATCAAGGGTGGAATTGTACATGAGTAATCATCACAATAGACCAGCTCCAACCAGGTAGTCGAGGTTGCACTACTCAGAGTTGTAATTAAGAGGTCTTGGTCACTATATCTCACATTGGTGGCTAGAGCAATTGGTCCGCAATGTCACAGATATACATACCTGTAGCCATAGAGTGATGCGTTTCAAACCACCGGAATCATGATGAGGAAGTAAGCAATAATGAAGCAGACAAACCTTCTCCTCCACTTGAAGAAGCCCAAAAGGCAACACCCCAGGCTCAAAATGATGGGATCATGCTTGCCTTACTCAACCACAGAAACCGAGCTCATCTGGTCTGGAATTATGAACATTCATCCTCACTCCTCAACCGAGTAGGCAGGGAGCCTGCTATTTGCCCTGGAATTATGGGAAGGATGTGGAACAAATGTGTTCAACCAAGGATCCAGGATGGGACCACATCAAGTTCAAAATTACAAGGAGATAATGTACCACCTTTCATCAACAATATACTGAACCAATATTGATATAAAAGAAGGGCCACGCATACCCCAACGGTATAGCCAAACATCAAATCTGAACCAGTATTATAAGTATGCTTCTGCATAGGTTGATGCAGCTTCTATCAACATCTGGGAAAAACATTCATAGACCCTGGTAAGAGAGTCCTCACCTTCACACTCTTTTCCAAGAGTGGAGGAATTCACTATAATACTCTGGAGGAAAAGCCTCCGTCCACCACCCCAGTGACTGGAAACTGGGTGTGATCCTTTCCACTGGTAGAATCTGGGGTAATGCATGCTGGGGAGTCCTGAGGATTGGTGCTCTGGAAATAATGCAATAGGTGAACCAAGTTCCCTAAATTTATTAAAGCAAACCAATCCCAGGTTATTCAATTCAATGATTGGCAGTATTCCTTTTAGCCTTATGCATGATAGTCTGGTGAGCTCCTAGGTGGTCTTATGGAACACCTAATTTCTACAGAGCTTGTTGCAACTGGTAGTAATTATAGTGAAATAGTGGTTGCTAGTGAGGATTTGGTTTGATAAAAGCACATCTGACCGGGTAACACTTGCCACAGAGTGGGATCCTGTGAAAAAAAGGTAAGGGACTTTGAAAGTTAGAAATAAAAATACTTACCCCCTCTGGATAATTTAGCAGAAATAGTGAAGATAGCTACAGGGAGTAGGCAAAACCCTCAGATGAAGAGACTGTCAGATCAGGCAAATAATGTAAGATAAAGGTATTGGAGGAGGGCCAAATACCAGTCCACATAATGACCTCCAGTGGGCAATTTGACTGGGTTGCTAACTGTATAGAAAAGAGAAATCTGATAAAATGTGACTCACAGAAGATACCTCGCCTTCAAAGAGAGCCCAGAGTAAAGTGTTTTCTGCATTAAAGGTATAAGTGCAGACAACAAAACCTTCAAGACCCTCAATGACCGTGAGCAAGATTGAAATCTGAATGGGCATAGAGAGAAAGAGTGAGCAGATGAATCAGAGAAAAGGACTGAACCCCTTTACCATCTGACAGAATGTTGAGTAAGAAGAACTGGTAGAGAGAATGAGAATGTAGTTCGTGAACAAACAGTGCAAATCACTCCATGACCTGTGATGTCCTTAGGTCAGCAGCCAAGGAAAAAAACCTGCAGGTAAAGGGGATTCATGGCATATAAGAGTCAGGACACAAACAGGTGTACAGAAAGAACATGTAACCTTAAACTACCTGTTAGGTAACTGGAATGTTCATTTAAGTCCAATTTCTTAAGACGATGTGAGGAATCTGGATAGTACTGGGGACTCAAAAAATATGTAGTTGCAATAATCGAAGGTATTCGATAAGGCCTCTGTAAATAATGGCGATTGTGGAAGGTGCAAAAACTTCTGTTAAAGAGCCAATTAAAATATGAGTTGAGGTTGACACGACTGGTTGAAAAAGGGTTCAACTTCCTCATGATACAACACTGCCGATATGCATGTCATTACCTTTGAGAAAAGTGCCTTTCAGGCTAAGTGGAAAATGAAACAGATACATGTCAACCTTAGAAATTAAACCCCAATGTCATGTGAAAGACAGTATAACCTCTATGCCAGAAGTTTGAACTTCTGGATAGCCAGGTGTACCATTCCAATCATGGCTGCCTCTACAGAAAGAGCCTAAGAAGTAGTGAAAGAGTTGGACACACATGAAGGGACCGCAAAAGCAGAAACCCAGGTGTAGCTGCCAATCTGGTGCGATCAACAGGATCTGACAATAAGTTGGAGCAAATCATATTTTGTACCCTGGGTAATGTATGAAGTGGAGAGAAGGTTGAGAATGGTAATCTCGCCCTGCCTAGATGAAAAGGATCTATTGCCAAGTTACAAAAATTAGGTACTGAAGACCAAGTTGTCAGTAATTTGGTGATCAAATTAGTGTTGCAAAATGAGAGCCAATTCAACTGAATCTTGTGATACAACATCTATTCTGTCAGGAGAATCTGTTTGGATTGAGACAAGTGACCTGCTACCACAGGCATCACCTGTGGAACATGGCAAGCTAGTAGGGTGATAAGATAAGACTAGTCCAAAGAAAGGAAGTCCAAAGTTCGAAAATAAGGAGCCATAGGCCACATGCCTCCTTGACTAAAAACATAAGACATCATCACAGAATAGTCAGAGTGAAACCTGATGATGTACCTCGTAATGAGCCCATACAATGAGAACTTGCCTTTTGAAAAGCAAAAAAAGGATGAAACAATGTGTAGGGAATCCTCGTCATCCATGCTTAGGCTCTGGAATTCCTTTATGTTGGTATATGTACCCCATTCTTGAAGCAAAGCATACACAAAGAAAATGGAAATCTGGATGAGATGGAAGTAGAGAAATCCAAATTGTAGTAGTGTCCTGACTTAACAACTTCTCGAAATTTAAGAAAGAACCAGACTAAGGAAACTGAGGAAACCAGGAAATAGATGTATATGAAGCCTGGTTGCTTACAGACCAATAAAAGGATCACTTGTGTTCTCATCACAAATGCTCGAAGGATTAGAGTGATGCCCACATTCCCAGAAGAGAAAGAACCATCCATGCAGTGGGAGAAGGAGAGGTGAGTAAGAGTGTGGCATCCTATTCTATATCGTTGAGCAGGATGGGAGATAGCTGAGCCCAGCTGAGAGATGAGACGAAAAATATAAAATATCCAGACTGATAACATGTTAAATTGGAGCAAGAATAGATGTCACAGACCCGAAAGGAAGCCTGTCTGGGTTGTATCTGAAAGTAGAAGCAGGGTGTAATGGTCTAACAATTGACAAGATGTTACCAGCAGCAACCAGTCATCCGTGGAAAGGTGGGTGCACAGTACGATGGAATGAAGAGGATGAGAAAACTCGTATGATACAAGTTAAGCCAATGTGAGTCTGAAGGAAAAAAACCTGGAATTGCAGTATCTAACCCATGTGCACCACAAATGCGAATAGTGCTGGGACTCCACCACTAAGGCAAAGTGCAGATAAGAGCCAATTACAAAAAAGTTGAATATGTACAATCCCAGTAAAAAATCAACACAGATTGAGGAATGAGTAACGTGTAAACCTTGGAGAATCTAGGCATTGATATAGACAAGAATGATGGATGACTGGACACCAATCTCCTGTCTTCATAGGCCTAATAACTAACAGAAATAAAAACTCTGAAGAACTAGCCCAGCTCTCTCACTACTCCCAGACCAACCACACACACGTCACCTTAGAACTAAGTTCCAAATTCCAATGAACTGCAGGAGATGGAAACCCTACAGGTTGGATGGATAATAGTGGGAAAAATGTGAACTGAATGACCAATTGTAGCCCAAGGACCTGCAAAGCTTCTGGACTCATGGTTAAGATTACAACACATCCAGAAATTCTTGAAACTGAGCCCCACAGACCCTGAAGGTATACAATAATAACCGATGCTGCTGGTGATCTGACCTTGGATATAGACATAAGCTATTCTGAGTACCAATGTACTGAGGAGTTGATGTCATTCGTTCATTGGTACTCATGAATAGGGGCAAAACTATCACTACTCCCCACCACCCCTGTAGGAGCTGATGAAATTCAAGACTCCAACAACAACTGGGAGGAATGTAGAAGCAGAAAACTGAACCAACATGCATGCTAACAATAGATACAGCTTGTCCTCAATGAAGCTGGTGATCTTGAGAGTCTATTAACAAAGTGAAGTGAAAGGAAACAAAATGTTGAAGTTGAGTTGTAACTCCGTAGACTTACCCTGTCCCATCAGGGAACATAGACATATAGAGGTGAACCACAAACCCCCACCTTAGAACCCAGAAATTCAAGGAGCAGATATATTATTTGAGAGTCGAAAAAATGTATCCACCTGATGGTGGTAGGCAAAATCATGAAGTTCCCACAATGTGTCAGATAAGGCCTAAATGTCCATTCATGTAACTAAGAAGTAAACCTTCCAGCATAAACCACAATACCCGTGTATGGAGAAAAAACTAAAAATATGCTACCAGAACTTTCAGCCATCAAGTAAGTTGCAGGCTCAAAAGCAACTGGGAAAAACCCCAAAATATCACACATTTGAAGAACTAATAGAAGAAAAACAAATCAAAGGCAGCTTATCCCTATGTCACATCCTTTTCGTTTTTCATAGATCATTTAAAGACTGTGTTGATTACCATTGATTTGAACAGCATTTTGTGAGGTAAAGTAAGTTGTTTTGTTAGAACAAAGCTACTTTGGGCCATCTGCCATGTCCACCCTAGGGAATCGAACCCCAGACCCCAATGATGCAAGTCCATAAATTTACCACTGACCCACAGGAGGAGAGATGAAAAATCCAACAAACTAAAATAAGGCACAGGAAAAAGCAAATCTAAAGTCTCTCAAAAATGTTGAGGATGATTGTTTTATGATGCTAGATATCAGAGGTGGGAGAGGAGAGACCCAATTTGCCTCTGTACTGGAAATAATAATATGAGAATTCAAACCATAATTGGCTTGCCAATAGGAAGAAGAAAAAAAATATTCATTATTATTATTATTATCATGACTTCAACTGGATTACATGATAACATTCAAAGAATCTCTGAACAATCGTAATACTTGGAAACCCATTAGTGACGCTTTGTCGAGAAAAAGTGATAAAATTATCTGAATGAGGTGCTTATATATAGTTCCAGGATAGAGGGCACATTGACGTAGGTGGAGAGTATCACGAAACATATATATTGCCAAGGGCAATTGAGTGTGGTATGAAAGACTGGAGTAAGCAAGAAAAAATTTGACCAATGCTTACATAGACAAAGATGAAACCCTGGTAGTCAAGTAATAGCTGTAAATGGCAGCGGAGGTAAGTGTCTTTTGGAATTACGTAGTATGAACAAATAAGGGGAAAATCTCACTCATTTCTGTATAACATCTGTACTTCATGTAATAACTTATCTAAGAAGTTAAACTACTATAAAATCATACTATTGGAATCATTTAATGGGGTTTCTTGTGTCATAAGAGTTGTTATTAAGTTTTGCACATATTATTGTCAAGTTTTCAATGGACAGAAACTGGTGGTAGTACATGAAGCGAAACATACACAAAGAACTTGTTCTTATGTGTTCTGTTAGTAAGTTGTATGTAATAATGTAAGAACAGGAAATTAAATTAGTCATGTTCACTATTGGGTTTGTTTTTTAATTCTGATCTATGCTTTGATCAGAAGTTAATTTCATTAATAAAGCTATAATAAAGAATCAAACAAAAGCAAAGATTTCACAATCATGAAAAGAGAAAGTTGTGAAAGAAAGGTACATTTATACTTGAATGATGAAGGAAGGTTTACAAAACCAAACAAAAATCCTACTAAGACTCTAGAACTAAAAAGTAAAACGTTAGTGAAGAATCTGATGTTTTTAGAAAGACATATTAGATATGGTTTCTTCTATTATACTTTATGTTCTTGGGGCAGTAGTTGTGGTTAATGAAAAGGAGAGTCATAAAGAAAATTTGATGGAGTTTTTGTTTTCACTGTAATTTGTGGTGGTAAATAATCAAAAGCAGGGTAAAAACAAAGTTTGTTGGAGGTTTTCATGTTATACCTTGTGCTCTTGACAACACCCAAGTTTTAGTGAAATACGTCAAAATAGCATTCTAACACTCTTTGGAACTATTCTAACAATAAATAAAACTATTTTTATAACAAACGGTGTTCACATATGTGAAAATGTATCATAGAATATAGGTGTTGCAGTGTTGCCTCATCCTGGGATGTTGCAACTACAAACCCATGCTCACTGGAATTAAAACAGAATGAAACACTGGGTATTTTTGCTAATTTATTGCATTTCTGAAACACTTTCCGTAGATGTGATTCAATTTACAATTTCCTATAGGCTCAATATACATTGGATGTAAAAAGAGCAAATGAATAAATAAATAAACAATCTTATTCTTTTAAATGAACTAATGCACACATTTGATGAAGAATATGATGAATCCTTACTGTGTATACTTCTGTTTTTGCTTTGTTAAATACATAGTACATTGTGTTATTATCATTTATGTCCTTGTAACACACACCTAAAGTACAGTGTTATCAGCTGGTTAATTTTGTTTTGGTAACAGTGGATAAAATGTTAACAAATTTCTTCTGAATAAAAACTATAGTTTTTCTCACTTTTACTAGTTTTTAAACATTTTATTAGCCTTAGCTTCTATTTAGTAGATATAGTCTTTTTTTAATTTTCATTAATCATAAAAATTGTGGTTAAGGTACTTTATTAACTTTGTTGAATTGATACAGTGTATTGTGGCACTTTTAGGACTTGAGTATTGGCTCTTGGGGTAGGTAGTTGTGTGTAATCAAAAGCAGGGTTTAGAAACAAAATTTGATGAGGTTTTATTACAGTTGATCCACCTGTTATTCTTTGTGATATGTTTTTCTTTTTGTCATAAGTTATGGAATGAATCGTGTAGGGATGATAGAAAGTCTAACTCGGTATTTTCATTTCATACTGTTGGTAAAGCAAATACTGATCTTTTGTTAAGTAGTGATTTTTTTATTAAATAATATCGTCCTTTAAGATTAGCAATGTATTACATCTTAACATAACAATACAGAATTGCTTATTATAAGATAATATATTGTGAATAGCATTCTGTACTGTTCTTAACACAAACATTATGTTAAATCATAACAAATCTTTCTTGCCTCAATATGTATAATGATAAGTTTCTGATGAAGCTCTGTTAAAACTGAAATATCAATTAATAAAAATTTTTTTCTATTACTGAAATTCTTATCATAAAATAATCAAAGAACTATGTCCTATAAAATACTCCAAGTGAGCATTCTGGAGAATCAAGAATATAAATTTTAAAATCTCTCTAACTAAAGGTTACATATTATCAAGACTCTTTGAAACAATATACATACTTATATTTCACCTTCCTTTTAAAATGTAGATTCATAAAAACTTCATCTACCAGTTATTGTATAACTCACTTTTTCTCAGATTTCTGCCATTTCAATACAAGAGAAAACAAACTGGAATATGGATCGAGTGCATCATTTATGGTGTCAAAATCTGGGTATGAGGTAAGTGGAAACTTGAATAGTACTTCCTCCTGTGGGTATTGGTAAAAGTTAAGAACCTGTTTTACTCGAACAGTTTTATAACTTTGAAGTAATGGGTTACATTATAATTTAATAATATCACACTAGACTGTAACAATAGTCATGGAAGCTAATATGTTATCAAGAGACAAATTAAGAACTTTACAGTCCACAGTTCTCCTAATGTAGTTAATAGAACTAATTAGAAGAAAGTTTTAAAGATACCAGATGCATTTCTAAACACAACAGTAGTGTTCAGTTATGCAGTAAGGCTGATAGAAAATGTGTTTAATTTAACTGTACAAAGGGAAAAATTCTTTATGAATGAGCTTCAAAAGCATGTTCCACATATAAAGTGCAAATCTGTCTAACCTTACTTAGCCTGCTTTTTTGTCTGCTATGCAAAAAACATTCTTGGTAGTTTGAAGATATCTGTCAGCCATACAGAAAGCAAAAGATTTAACTAAGTGATCAGAAGTTATCAGTAATACAAATAAATTATTGGATATATTTATTTTATTGTTTATAGATACTTATTAAAAGAATAAAAAATTACTACACTAACATCTAATGACCAATGAATGGCATCAATATGCTTTTCTAGAAAATAAGCATTTAAGAATTCCATCCAATGAATAGTATTACTACATTTGTCAACAGGATACACACTTATGTAAGAATTGTACTTAATAAATATTATCATTACATTTGTCAACAGGATACACACTGATGTAAGAATTGTACTAAACGAATAGTATCACCACATTTCTTAACAGCATTAACAATGACGTAAAAATTGTACTCAATGAATAGTATCACTGCATTTGTTAACAGAATTAACACTGATGTAAGAATTGTACTTAATAAATAGTATCATTACATTTGTTAACAGAATTAACACTGATGTAAGAATTGTACTCAATAAATAGTATCACCACATTTGTTAACAGAATTAACAATGACGTAAAAATTGTACTCAATGAATAGTATCACTACATTTGTCAACAGGATACACACTGATGTAAGAATTGTACTAAATAAATAGTATCACCACATTTGTTAACAGAATTAGCAATGACATATAAATTGTACTCAATAAATAATATCACTACATTTGTTAACAGAATTAACACTGATGTGAGAATTGTACTTAATGAACAGTATCACCACATTTGTTAACAGAATTAACAATGATGTAAGAATTGTACTTAATAAATAGTATCACTGCATTTATCAACAGAATTAACACTGATGTAAGAATTGTACTTAATGAATGGTATCACCACATTTGTTAAGAGAGTTAAACAAGTAAAACACAAAACAGTAATCATGGGGAGAAACTACAACAAGAAAACACAACAACAACAAAAAAAAAGGTAAAATCAGTAATACGAACATATTAAAAAATGTATAATTTAAATGAAGACTGCATGTTGTTCAGTGCTGGAGAGTGCTGTTTGATATGGAGGGTTTCTTTAATGAATAATTCCAGGTCAGTATTAGACTTGCAGAGGATAGAGAAATTTGATAGTATAGGTTGATGTCCTGTTTCTTCACTATGTTGGCGTATAGAGGAAACACAGGGGTTACTAAATTTTATTTGTGTTTTGATGGAAATTCCTGTATGTTTGTAGGCTCTGACTTTTAAATGGCATTTAGTTTTGCCAATATAGGAGGCCTTACAGTCTCCACACGTGTAAAGATAGACAAGCCAGGAACAATAAGGAATGGGGAGGATATCTTTAGTAGGGAAAATTTTTTTTATGTATGATGTGGACTTAAAAACTAGTCCGAAATCCACTTGAAGATAGTAGCAACCAAGTATGCGTTGAAGTTGATTTTTTAAATTTAAGCTTTGTTAGGGAAGACACGAGTATATAGTAAGTTTGGGTGCAATTGGTATCTTAATTGGATTTGTGAGTCTTCATGGCGAGCTTTGATATTACCTCCCTCTTTACAAATATTCCCTTAAATGAAACTATTAACATATGCATATCTGAGCTTTCACGTAATAACAATCCTCTAAATGGATTTTCTGAAAATCAAATTAAGACCATGCTGGATCTTACTGCTAAGAATACACATTTCCTGTTCAACAACACCTTGTATGAACAAATAGATGGCATCGCAATGGTCTCCCCACTAGGTTCAACTTTAGCTAATGCATTTCTCTCTTATTACGAACAGAAATGGCTTGACACCTGCCCAGATACCAACTGTACCCAAACTTACTATATACTCATGTCTTCTCTAACAAAGCTTAAATTCAAAAAATCAACTTCAATGCATACTTGGTCGTTACTATCCTCAAGTGGATTTCAGATTAGTTTTTAAATCCACATCACGCATAAAAAATTTTTTCCCTATTAAAGATATCCTCCCCATTCCTTATTGTTCCTGGCTTGTCTATCTTTACACGTGTGGAGACTGTAAGGCCTCCTATATTGGCAAAACCAAATGCCATTTAAAAGTCAGAGCCTATGAACATATGGGAATTTCCATCAAAATGCAAATAAAAAATTTAGTAACAGCTGTGTTTCATCTATGCGCCAACATATTGAAGAAACAGGACATCAACCTATACTAT